GCTAAGCAATATATAATTGATCCACTACTAATCTATTGAAGTCAGAAATATCAGCTATGGTGGTGGTTAGATTATTAACCCAAAGCATGGGAGAACACCTGCAGTGAACATGCTAAACCTGGCATGCAAATATTTTCACAAGATTTTGTAATAGGCATTGCCACTGAAAAAGATCCAGTATTTGGTTGCCACCTGTTTAATTTCAAAAGGTATGGATATTCTCAGCCAGGGTTCAGATGATAATTGCATTGAACAACGAGGCTTCCGGTGGGGAGACTATCATGGAGACTTGATCTCAGGCCTTAAAGGCTTTAAAGATCAAAAACAGAAGTTTGTACTGTGTCCTGCAACATATTTGAAGAAGCAAGTAGACAAGTTAACACTGACAAAGTAGGTTTGTGTTGTTGTTGTTGTATAGCACTTTCATAGCCAACAGTGCTCAGTAGTAATCCCATATCTGAAGCTGTTAAGTTTTACATCGAACAGATTTAAAGAGTTATAGAATTAATGTCTTTCACAGTAGGAATAAAACTGCCACACCACATTTGGCATCAGATACCACTGATATCATAGCACAGTATTTCTCAATCCTGGCAACTTTAAGAGGTGTGGACTTCAATTCCCAGAATTCTCTGGGATGCTAGTAGGGAATTCTGGGACTTGGAAGTGCAAACCTCTTAAACTTACCAAGATTGAGACATACTGCAATAGCAGATAATCAAATAAGTACAAGTCAGCACCAGAGATTTTACTTTTTTCTGCATTGCTTTCTTGATCTATAGTTTCCAGATTTCTGCAAAACCAGGTTGGGGAGGCCTCTACTTTCAGCCATGATGCCACTTGGGCTTCTAGAGTCCAGCTGGTATTCAGACTGTGCAGAAGGAACAGATGAACCATTAGCCTGAGCAGTAACGAGTTAAGCATCTCCATGCTGCAGGTGTTTACCTCTTTCCTTTCACAGTTTATGGAAACAGGATTAGGAGATAAACCACCCAGATTATGTGCTTTTGCACATTAAGAAAAAAAAATATTGGTTTTGTTTACAGCAAGTGCATGGTGCCAATTTACTCCCACCAGGTAGGCTTCCTTAATTCAGTTTTACATGTCCTTTGCACCCCAAATGGCTCCATCTTAGATATCTTACCTATAATAACAGGATTAAGATGAGCCTGATAAGGCAGTCTTTTCAAGTTCAAACTACACATTTACAATTAAGGTAATAATTATGTAAGTTATCATTTTGATAAAAATATTCAAATCTATTTCAACTCATTTCAGCAAAAATGTTTCTTTAATCATAAGAATATGAAAATAATGTTTTACTATATTTGTAAAACTTCTGTTTATTGTTATTAAAAAAAATCATAAAGCTTGCCAGCCCATTGGCTTTTGTAACTAGCACCATTTCAGGACCCCAAACTGGCTTATGATTTTTTTTATTAAACCTGTTTGGCTTCCAGGGAGCTGGCATTGGGAGTAATTTGTAAAATGCCGGTACCATTCACTGTGTTTTAAGCTGTGGCTATGGTGTAATTCAAATGTTCATAGTTAAAAACCACTATTTCCTTTAAGAGGTGAACATTGGGAAATATGAGTAAAGCTTCCTTCTCACATTTTACTTGCAAAGACAGGAATTTTAAATGAACTCAAATGTTATGCCAAATTCCCTTTATCTTAGTCAGAAAAAAAATCCCAAAAGATTGCGCAAACTACACACAAACACACTTCATCATTATATTTTGTTATTCCAATTAGCAAAAAAATAAATAAAATATCTAGACTCCTTGTATGTGTGGATTTTTAACCATAACTTTCAACATTTGAATTCCCTCATGCTGAAAGGCACAAAAGTTTTGCTATGGACAAATTTTGCCAATCCCCAGAGGGAAAAAATTTCAGAGGCAACAAAACTATTGCCAGATCTGCACTGACTCTAAGCAAGAGCTAAGAGTTATGTAGCTCTACAGCTTCTGCAGCTGTGAAACATATTTATTCATATATCTTACACCACAAAAAGTTGGGCTGAGAAAAAAAATGCTACTTTTTATAAATACTTTCCTCCTAATTATTGAAAATCAAGGATATAGAAAAGAAATTAGATTATGATTTCAAAACCAAGTTGGGTATTTCTGGATGAAATAGCAAGCTATTTTGCCTGGCTTCCTCCCATAAGGTATGTAATCAGCCAGACCACTTCCTTTCAGAAGAGCTCTACGGTCTGTTGCCTTGGAGTAGAGATACAAGCAGTATTTCATTCTAGAAGGCAAACTAAAAATTCAAGACCTCTCCTTGGTATCACAGTTGAAGTTCCACCCTTCCTGCAGTTTGGCGGCTGAAGGGGTGTGGATGACATTACATCCACTCCTAAAAACACCGTCCCCCAAACAAGGCAGAGAACTGCTTTCGAATTTCCCCCAAATTTGGAGAGTCTCTCCTCTGGAAGAGGCTGGAAAGCCCCTTCCATAAACTGCCGACTCTTCACCTAATCAACCTCCTCCCATTCTCTAAGAAAGAATCCTTAGACATCTCAGCCTCCAATACAGAGCAGTAAGATTTATTTATACACTTTGGCCTTCAGAAGGCTGGTTTTGTCTGTCAAGCTTCATTTGTGGCGTAAACCAGCTACCCAACTTTGTTTTATATTCCCTGGATGTGTGTGTTTGTGTGTGTGTGTGAAATTAAGACAATCCTCAGTCTAAAGCAATTTGGCTAGTGAAATGGAGAAGTGGACGGTAGAAAGTAGCAGGATAGGAAAAGTATCCATGGGACAAATGAAGAAGGGGAGAACCAATGATTGAATTGGCCTCAGAAAATAGTCAGGTGGCACTCTTGAACCAGGATCTACCTACAACCTGGAATGATCATGCCCACCATATGATTCTGGGACTCCAGTTGGATAAAAGAGCTGATCAATCAATTCCTGTACCATCCTTCCCAGTTTCTAGGCTATTCTGGGAGGGAAAAGCCAAAGCAGCTCATTTTTATCTGTTAATGCAAAAATGTTTTGGTGGCCAATACAACTCTAAAGCATGAAATTTATCTAATCACTGAAGAGAATTGTGCATTTTGGTTAAGAAATCTAGAATGCCCTCTAGACAAGTCCATGACTGCCTTCTTGCTATTTTCACAATTAAACTCAGTGCTGTCTGTTGTCTTAATCAATACTTAATCAGTATTTCTAACTGTTAAGGGGTTTGAATATCAGCCCATAATTTACAGTCATAGCTGCATTCTAGATTCTCTTCCACAAAGATCAGACTGGTAGGCATGAAGTGAGGCCTTTTTTCTGTCACAGTGCCCCTCAATATTGGTACACCTTCCTAGGGAAGTTCGGCACGATTCCTTTAAAGAGAAAACAAAGATTTGAATTGTTCCTTACATATCTTAATGGTCAGGTTAGCGCTGACCATTTAAAGATCACCAGTTTTGTTTTGTATTGGCTTTATTTTTAAATTTAGTTTGTCTATTTCCTAAAGAACCCCAGTGGTTTGTAAGACAAGCCATAAATATTTACAGATTATTAGTACCTAAACAAAGTTGTCTAATATACTACTAAATACATTTCTTTGCTTTTAAAAATAAGGAGGGACAATTTATTATTAGGAGGGAAGACAAATATAAAATATGGGAGTATACTATGAAATTGGACAGCATTATGTCTGTCAAGTCTGTATATGCACCAGAATAGAGTAAAATAAAATGCAAGTTTTGTGGCAAAGGCAGAAGTCTGTATTCACTAAATCTGCTCCTGCATTTTTGTAGAATGAATTCATCAGAGTAAATGAAATAATGTTGGGAGCACAAAAGGATCCCACCTTCCGTAACATTCAACACTAAAAAAAACCCTATCCAGTTGATAGCTTGGATAAAGAAGCTACCCAAGTAAGAACTTCTCTCTCCATGTTCATTTGAAAGCAATTCTCAATTTCAAGTGGGAATTGCATTAAAAGAAGCTACCATAACTGTGGCAGATCCTATGATTGCTTACATTTTATTCCCATCAGCCTCAGATGGCAGTTCTAATAGAAAATGATCCTTTTTTAAAGATTATGATTCCCAGAACCAGATTACACTAGGCTACCTGATGCATAGGATCATAGCAGTAGCTTTCATAATATCTGCATGTACACATGATCTTCTTTTTATTTGCATTATCATGATTGGGGGGTGGGGGAGATAGGCTTCCCATATAGATAAGTTGCCACATAGTTGAAGAAAATGGGCTAGGCTACTAAACTAAGATAAGGGCAGAATATCTGGCAAAACTTGTTTTGTAAGATAGGTGGCTATATCAATTTGGCCAACAAAATAAACACAAAGTCATTGACTACTATGGTACTAACTGGGCTGGCCATTGGAAAACTCCTTTTTTGCTATTGATTTAAATTACAAAGTTGGATAGCACAGCAAGGTCATCTCATTCTATCCAAACTAAAGCCTAAACTTAAAAAAAAAGATAAAGGTGATTTGCTATTTCCTTCTCAAGTATTATCTAATAATTACTTATTAAAGCAACAAAAGTGTTTGTGGATAAATAGCAAGCAGTATCCCTGCAACATTTCCAGTGATAGAAAACAGCAGATAGGCAACAGGATTTGAATGTTCTACCTCTACTGCCTTGGGCAGGTCATACCTGCCCATCCTCTGACTCCAAAGTATAAAGATGGGAACAGAGACTTACCATGCAGGTTTGGTGTGGAGCCAAACAGAGCAGCTAAATAAAGTAACTTGCTTTGGCAGCTCACCCCCTGCCCGCCCCATAATTATCAAACATATAACAAATAAAGAATGCTCTAGTAAATAAAGTAACTTTGGACGACTGTGATGTTTCTCTTTGGTCTTCTATTAGAACAACCACACAATAGCTTAGAATAATCCATCCTTTCCAATTTGTATTCCTTTAAAGCAATATGCAAATGTTGCCTGGAAAAATTATTCACAATATTCTCTGCCAAAAGAAAATATTTTGAATTATTTTTCTAGAAATCACACCAGAATAATTATGCTGACATGACCTTCAGTTTATTTAAACTCTCTTCATGAATCAGGATAGCCTTTCCCCCCACCTCCCCCAGAATGTGACTATTTTACATGTCCCTTCCCATGCCCCATTCCCTCTTCACCAATTGTCTCTCCTTTTCAAGGATCACAAATTCTGTTTCTGTATGAGTCCGATGAACTTTTAGAAATTTTCCTAGGAATACTGGATATTCTGTGTTCTTATTTTTATAAACAAATCCCAAACCCTTGATTACACATAATTAAAAAAAGCACACTATATTAGAACTATCTTCAAAAACAGTGTAAGATTGTGAATTTATTCTGATTAGATCACATAAAGTCCTGTGTGTGTATGTGTGCGTGCGTACACACACATACACACATGTATTCCCACAATATGAATACAGCATCTTGGGATGGTTTCTGTCCAATTCCTCTTATGTCCTCAGAAAATGTTCAGTTTCATTCTCCCAGTTTAGAGAAATTGTTCTCTTGTTCTCTGCCAAGTTCCTTTTCTTTCAAGAGTTTCTGGTTCTCAGCTCTCAACCTGTCCAGTTCCTCTACTAACTGACTTACCCTGGGGTCCTCTGTTGAATCCCCTGCAAATTTCTTGTTCTCCATCTGTAGGCGGTTGTTCTCCTCCTCCATCCTGGAAAGACATTTCTCCAACTCCAAATATTCCTTGATCAATTCCTGTTTGCTCATATTCTGTAGACTCTCTACATGATATTTCTCATATGTCTCTGAAAAATCTTTCTGAAGGAATTCAGTGCCATCCCCTCCCATCCCATCACTACCCCCATCCTCCTCTTCCACAAAGTCTTCCTCACTGGTTTCATCTGACTTGGTGGCAGATCTTTTGGGGCAAAGGCTTGTCTTCAAATCTGGTTCTTCTTGATCATGATCCTCCATTAAAAACTGTGTGGTGTTGTATGGTGCAACAGGCTGTCCTTTAGCAAACATCTCTGCCCGCATCCTGGAAGCCCGTTGACTCTGCTTTTCATCAAACTTCTTCTTCTCTTCCCAGCTGAGTTTGTAATAAGGCTTCCAATGTTTCTTCTTCTTTGAAGGGCGCCTCCTATGTTTCTTTTTGCCCAGTTGTTTTTCTTCTTCTCCACCAGACTGGGATCTGCAACTCTGGTCAAAAGTCCCACAGTATTCCTGCTCCTGTAGGTCTGATTGCTCTCCATCTCCTGCATCTTGAGTGTCTGCAGCTGCACCAAATGTCTGGTCCTCAATCTGATTAATCCCTGGGGCATCCAGACTTTGGCTTCCTTCAACCCCAGGAACTGTGAGTTCTGAATCAGGAAAGGCAACATCAGCACTGACCGGCCTGCCATCCTGCTGCTTAGCCACCTCTCTTGGTTGCCACCTATCCACAATCTCTCTTCCTTGGAGCAGTTCCTGGTTAGTGGGTGGAGATCCAACAAAAGGCCCCCCTCCACCAGAGTCTCCTCCGCCTGCACCCCTGCAGGGGGGGAAAGGTGTTTTGCCATTAGGCTGTTGCCTCAGATTGGCAGAGAAGGCAGCATCAGCCATAGCTGGTGCTCTTAGCAATTTCCTCAGCCCGGAGAAGATTGTTGGCTAATAAGTCCACGACGTTGACTCCCTCTCTTCTTGAAGGAGGGAGAATTTAATTAGCCCGCAGTTCCTTGCTGGATGGTGCTGGGGCTGCCAGCTTCACAAGTTCTGAGAAAGCAAAGTTTTTTTTTAACACTTCAGCCCAACTTGCAATCCTTTACAGAACTCTTACTGCTTAATAGTTATCAGGAGTATTAATCTGGAAGACTTTCTTGCTCTTTCTTAAAGATTTCTAGACTGTTACAAACATTAAACTTTGCAGGAAAAAAAAAAAAAAAGACCGGCAAGCTGTCTTGGTCAGTCTTTAAATGTTCGTTACCTTCTCTGGGAAGTGTGGAAGCATCCGTTTTTTCCTCCAGTCTCTACTTCTCCTGTTTGTCACACTGTAGGAAAGATGCACATCTCAAATTATAAAAAGATTAAAGGCAAAAAGAGTTCCAGCTAAAGAATGAGCCACCGCAAGAGACAGTATGTCCTTGAAACACCTTGCACGCAGCAATTATATTCTTTTAAAGAAATGAAGATTCGGGAGACAAAAGGCCACTGAAGAGTTAAGCAGCAGGGTTCTCACTCCAGCGTAAGTGATAAAAATGTTAAATGTCCAAATCCACACAATCAAGGGTTAACAGTTCAGGCACGAAAAAGTTGAAGGCAGTTCCAAAGCCAAGAGTCTAAGTGTGTAACAGTTCTTCTTTTTTCTTAACAATCTAGACCTCAAAAATCGGTTGAAAAATATTTCCGTCCCAAGCTTCAATCTATGAAAAACTCTCCAGTCCCGAACGAGTTAAAGATGGTTTCCTCCTCCTCCTCCTCGGAGAGGAAAGAGTTAACTAAACGAGGGAAGGTTGGCTCCTCCACGCACACCCAAAGTTCGAATCGCCCCCTCCCTTGCAGTTAACCCCACCCCTCCTTCCACCGCTTTCCTCCCTTACTCAAGCGCCGCCAGTTCTCAACTGCTACTCCTAGCGCGTTTCCTCGCCTTATATAAACGAACCAGCCCCTTCAACGCAGTGCGCAGCCGCTTCTTATTTTCCTGGTCCCAAGGTATCTCGGGATTTGTGGTTTCTCCTTCCGATCGATTGCCCAGTTCTCTTTTAACACAATGACTACCCTTCCCAGAATCGCGGCAATGGACTGTTGTTTAGCCAATCAATATTCAAGGAGGGCTGGGACAACAAGGAAGCCCTCTCTGGTAGGCTGCCTAAATAACTAAAACATCAATGGCTATAATGGGAGCCCTTCAATATTAACTGAACCAATCAGAGGAGAATAGTTGGAGGCGGTGTAGGAGGTGGGAATTGGAATATACCAACTATTTATGTGAATTTTGAAATCTTAACGCTTATTAAAGCGGCCTTTTTGAGTCCTCCTATAACTCATCTTCAAACGAATGTCATCTCAGGCACTTTATCTGTCATAATAGCGTTGAAGGAAAATAGCTTCGTAATTTACACCTCGAGAAAAAAAAAATATGGTAGTGCCCAAAAAGTAGTTCCAATGTAAATCTAAAGATTAAAAGGATTTTGTAATAGGTCACTCGTTTAAGATTGAGGAATTTCAGTAACTATTCGAGAATTTAGGGAGAACAGTGATGTCATCTAGTGGCAAAAAAGATTTGGACAGGAGAGTTGAGTAGGAAGCTCTTGCTGGCGGAAGGTCACTATTAGTTGTGTAAAAAACCCCAGCTATGTTAACCTATGACGGTGACTGATCTACGTGGAGGGAGTTGTAAACAAACCGAAATTGGAAACTAGTTCCGTCTTAAAGGCATAAAGGCACCCCTTTCGCTAAATCAAATGATGTAATTGAAGGCCTGGAAAGGGGATTGCAGTCTAGTGGTTAAAGGCTGAGATTTGGAACTCTTCTTCTTTCGCCAGAGGAAGATATGCCCAAGTTGCAACAGATCAAAGTTGAAAGAGTTTATTAACCAATTCCTGCTAGTTTTTCTCTCTGGCTGTGAAGAAAGGGTAGAGAACAGTGACTGAAAAGGAAGCTGCAGAACTTGAGGTCTGCCAGCTCTTCCCTTCTAATGCTTAGAAGCTGGCTCAAGTCATCAGGAAACAGATGCATTCTGTATATGCTCAGAGACTAATTTATTTTCAGTTCTGTTTCACCCGTTTCGAGCCCTATGGGCTCCATATAGCTACTGTGTTTCCCCCAAAATAAGACCCTGTCTATTTTTTTGAACCCTGAAATAAGTGCTTGGCCTTAATGCGTTGCACTCAAAAGCCCGATTGGGCTTATTATCGGGGAGGTCTTATTTTGGGGAAAACAGGGTACCTTCAACAGTGAAAGAAAATGGGTTTACAACCCTCTTCCACTGAGTTGAAGCTGGGACTCAGACCCAGGATGCCATTGAACTTCTCTTTTGCAGACCCTCACCTGAAAGGACTGCTTAAGAGGGAGAGGATTTCCTTTGCCATCCACAACTGCTCACCTCTTCCATCACAGAATCCTGACTTGTCTTTCACTGCTGTTCACATTGTGGAATTGTAACAGGACAAGCATTGGGTTAGCTTTTACAATGGAAAAAGTGACCCAGGTGCATAACAATTTTGTAAAGAAAAGGTAAAAGGTAAAAAAATCTGACCACGTTGGGGCCAAATACTGTAAAGCTTTTGAAAATTGAACTAACCTCTTGAAAGTAACTTAGAATCATAGGAAGCCTGAGAAGTGATTAAATTTAAAATGCCAGCGTGTTATCCTTCCTGTGAAAACATGTTCGCGTGACTGTAATTGCATTAAGCTAATTCTATAAAAACTACATTTTTAAATTGCAGAAAGCAAGAGTTTTAGGCACTGGGTTTTTGAAGAGTTTTAGCAAAAAAAAAAAAAAAAACCAGTTACACCTCAACTAGCAGGAGGGAAGTTCAAAAGTAATGTTAGAAAGTGTTACTTCACAGGAAGATTAGGGGACACTAGGAACCAACTTTCAGCAAAGGTAGGTAGTTGATCAGTCATAATTAACTGAGTTTAAATATGCTTGGGGGAAAAACCTGTCTATCATCCAATGTAGGTACTAAGTAAATAATAAAATAATGGCAAATCCAGTCTGAACATTTGGCTAAACCCTCAAAGGGCAGACTGGATGGATCACTGGCTCTTTTTCTGCAGTCTGTTTTTTATGTTTCTATGCTAGTTTCCTTATTCATTTCAGTTCAGCACAGGCTGCCATGCTAAGTTTGCTGCATACATACTGCAAACTAGAAGACTCCTTACTGATACGCAACATTTCTCTATAATGTAATCATCTTGAGGATACTGTGAAATACAGTGCAAAAAAGATGAACCAAGTAATACAACATTGTACAGGCCAAAATACAAATCTAACTCCACCACAACTTTCCTGTAAATCAACATTCTATTTCATTTTTATTTTAAAGTACTGTATTTTTCAGTCTATAAGACACACTTCCCCCCACCCAACCAAAAGTGGGTGGAAATGTCTGTATATCTTATAGAGCAAATGTTACCAAAGCCCCACCCATTCCACAGCCCCCATCCTTTGGCCGTTTTTGGCCTCCACGCACCCTGTTTTCGGCCTTCAAGCACCCCATTTTCAGCCTCCACATGTTCCGTTTTTGGCCCGTTCCAGGCAGCGGTGGTGGTGATCCCCACCGCCTGGAATGGGCCAAAAACAGGACACATGGAGACCAAAAATGGGGCATGCGGAGGCTGAAAATGGGGCATGCAAAGGCAACGATAGGCAGCGTTCAGTGATAGGCATTGACGATCCTCACAGTCTGGAACAGCTGATTTGCGGTAATCTGGGAGGCCGATCCAACCGCCAATCAGTTGCTTGTGCTAAATCAGGTTGTGATAATGTGCTGAAGCTGACCAGGCTGTTTGCTGTAAGGATGCTAGGAGGATGAATACCGAAGGATACTGGAAGGCAGAGGCAGATTTTTTTTTCTTGTTTTCCTCCCCAAAAACTGTGTCTTATGGTCCAGAGTGTCTTATAGTGCAAAAAATACGGTACATTTCTCATTTGGAGCATCTGTAATTTATCACACAATATAGTGAACCAAGTCTTTGTCATCAAGAATCAAACATTTTAAAAAGTGAAATACCCAGGTTTAAACAATTGAAATTTCAAAAAGTAAAAATAGTATTTTTACTGCTGATCTATTCCATAGTGGATTTAATACCTTATCCGAAGCATATAAATCAGGACAGACTAAATTCTGTCATACAGTACAAGTTTAACCTGAAGAATATAGCTTCTTTTTTGTGATTTTTCCCAAAGTACTCTCAATTACAAGTGTGAAATATATGACAAAATTTCATACCACTTTGAGGCAGACCATACAGCAAGGCTATAGGATAACTTTGAAGATTCATGTAACACTTTTAATGTAAGAAATTCTCCAAACCCAGGAAATTACAAAAAGTATTGGCCCCATTAAATCTATAAAGATGGTTAAGTCCTATGAAAGTAAAATGGAGAAATTGGGCTCAGAATTGTAATTGCCTAAGGTCCTCATTCTCATCCTATGGCAAAGTCAATCCTTCAAGTCAAATGCTAGCTTTAGAAGTTAAATGCCCTCATTACATTAAACCATAATTTACTTTAATCTTGGTTAGAGCAACCAGATTCTAATACTGTGCTGAACTGAATCTAAATAATGACCTAGATTAGAGTCATGTTGAACTGTATCTTCTGCAATAGAACTGAATATAATAATTCAGAATAATAAGAATGAAATTCTCAGTACAGAATAATGCATTTCTCAGTATATTTATTATAGTTATATATCACTTTTTGTACAAGAGCTCATGGTGACCTTGCATAGTGTTTCATCCTGTTTTTCTCTATGACAAGAATTCTGTAAGGTAGAATGGGATGAAAGAGTGTGAGTGGCCCAAAGCAGTGGTGCATTACCCCCCGGTTCGCACCAGTTCTATAGAACCAGTAGTAAAACCGGCGGGAGGCCCCACCCACTGACCCTGACATTATGAAAGCAGAAGAGGCCCCGTTGTGAACTGGTAGTAAAGGTAAGTAGAACCCACCCCTGGCCCGAAGTCATAGTGTTTCTGTGGCTGAGAATACATTGGAATTCGGGTTTCCCTACTCCTAGGCTAACATCTTAACATTATCATATTGACTGTGATAGACATGATTCCACACATTTAACATGGGAATCATAACACCTACTCTTTGAGGAAAGGTGAATTCTCCCCAAATATGTGTGTGTTTGTGTGTGTGTGTGTATGAGTGTGTGTGTGTGTGTGTATGTGTGGGTATATATTCATGTTTATCTATTGTCAAGTATTAAATTCTAGAGGCCAATAATTCCTGTTAATTTTCAGATTTGGGCGACTTTGGAATATATACATATAGCACCATTAGTTGAATGGGCAGTATTAGAATTTAAACATTAAAACTCTAGCATTTCTGGAAACGATTGTCTAATAAAAATTCAATCCTTCTCTTGTTAAATTGACTTTATGGGGAAACCCAATTTTAATAAAATGATAAAAATATGAAAAAGTGATATGGAAAAATTGGATGGAAATTGAGATATCGTTCATAGTTCATCAAACAGATGATGATGAATTTTAAACATATTCTGTGTTAGAGACAAATATCTACCCAATGTAATCCAATAGCAATAGTTACAGTGACAACATTTGCCAACAACATTGTTTTGACCAGCAGCACTCTCAGATTTTGAACACCTGAAAACTTGTTAAATTCTTTAAATTTAAGAAAGACCCAGTTTGTTTGTATAGATATTTGTTATCAATAAATCAGTGTGAAGAGAAGATAAGGGCTTGGGCAGAACCTCCGGAGGTACAGCAGCAAGAAATAGTAGAAGTGGAAGAAATATTTGGGTTAAATAGTAAAGATGTAGACAGAGACAAAGACCCAAGGAAGGAGTTTGGGAGGCAAGTCAAAAAACGAATAAGGATTGAAATACTAAAGTGGGCAAGAGATTATGGTTAGAAAGGTAATGCTGTTTAATATAAAATTGGCTCTATTGAGAGCTAGAATAGAGGTAGAAACAAGATCAAGGGGTAATATTAATATACATATTTTTATATAATATTATATAATATACTAAAAATAATAGCTAGATGTAAAGATTAGATTTTGAATGATGGTATCACTATGTACGTTTAAATAATATTGTGATTGTTATTAGAATGGCACATAAAAACACAGAACAACTAAACAATGAAGGAACACACTCTAATAAAATATGTATAATAATACCACAATTACATAAGTATGATTAATGTAACAAATATTAAT